TACACATTTTCAGCAATGTAGCAGGATACAAATATCAATACACAAAAACAGTAGCATTTTATACATAAACAATGAACAGGAACACTTCTACATTGTTGGTGGGAATGTAAACTAGTGCAATCTTTATGGAAAGTAATATGGAGGTCTTTCAAAAAACTAAAAATAGAACTACATATGATCCAGCAATACCACTCCTAGGCATATATCCGACGGAAAATGCTCCAGGATACAGTAAAGACACTTGCATACTCATGTTTATTGCAGCATTATTTACAATAGGCAAATATCCCATGGTTGATGAATGGATTAAGAAAATATAGTGTATACACAATGATCTTTTATTGAGCCATAAAGAAGAATGAAATTATGCTGTTTGCAGGTAAATGGATGGAATTAGAGGACTTCACATTAAGCAAAGTAAGCCAAATTCAAAAAATCAATGGTCACATGTTCCTCATATGTGGAAGCTAGACCTATAAGTTAGATGTATATATAGATACATACATAATCATATATACACACACATATCTATACATATATAGTGAGAGAGAGAGAACAAAATTGTATTAGTGAGTCTGTCTGAGGGACAATGGGAGGAGGAAGAGGTAAAAAATGTTAGAGAATGAAAAATATTGAAGAAACTCATCTATGTACGAATATAATGTAATGCATTGTACTGTAAGCTGTTGAATATTAGGGGAGCATGGTGATAAAGATTAAGTAATTTGATAAAAGCACAACATATACAGGTCTGAAATGCTAAGGTGAAACACCCTTGGACTGCCAATATACACTTAAATATGAAGTGCAGGAAGGAAGAATAGTCTTTTCCAGGTTCCAGTGAGAGGCAGGTGGACACAAGGAAAGGGGGAATGAGGGTTAATGTGTATGTATTTTGAAAATAGAAGAATGAAACCTGTTGAAATTGTTCTAAGAAGGTGGGAGAGGGGAAGAAAAAAGTGATGGTAAGTTTAAGATACACTGTAAGCACATATGTAAATATCACAATGTATCCCCCTGTACAACTATTTTATTCTAATAAAATCTTTAAAAAATTATGGTGTAACATTGTTGATCCATTGATATTGTAGCTGGAGCAAAGGGGTCATGACACTGAGATCTGGAAGCCACACTTTATTGGTGGCGCCTGGCTCAGCAGGATAACTCCCAAAGTCTGAGCTCCAAACACAGTAGGGTTATTTCTTTTATACATTGTAGATTTTGAGTACATCAAGGCAGGAGGGTCATTGGAGGACAGTTTTTACATTCCTAATTTGGGTACAAGCCTGTCGCTACCAGGGCAAGAAAAGCAGGGCAAGGAGGTTCTTATATTGCTCTGCTTTTCTATTGCGGTTTCCTTGCTGAACCTCCAGCTGCAAGCTTCTGTTTTTGCCTTTGTGGTTAAATGTCAGTGAGCACAGCTACTGCCTGTCAGCAAGAGGTGCTAAGACTGATTTCTTTCCATTTCATTCTACCACAATATTATAGAAGTCATTAAAACAAAGTGATAGTGCTTTAATTTGCTGAGAGAGAAGAGAGAGATTGAGAATCTGAATCTCAATGCTTGGGTTGTGTTAAAGACAACTGAATCTGGGGAGTAAAGTGGTAAAGAACAAAATTTATTCAGGAACTACTGCAACAGGAGTAGAGAGACCTCAGTATAGAACTGGGCTTGATTCTGAACACAGCATGGAACAGTGGAGATTTATAAGTAAGGAACAGGGTGGAGATCTGTAAAGAAAACATTTAGCAGTAAAATGGGTACAGGGGAAGCACACTCAACAGGAATCTCATGGAGGCAGGCTAGGGAAATCAGGGAAGGATGAAGAATTAAGTCCAATGCCAAGGCTGATCAAATATCCAGAGGGTGTGTGTGGTGGGGTTCTCTCCAAACCGACTCGGCAAGATTCTTATTACAGCAAGCAATGCAACCTGAGTAGGACCTCACAGGCTTAGGGATGCCTAACTGCAGTGTAGTCAAGGAGAGGAGCTTGTTCATTGGCCTTACTGGCAGAAGCGGTTCTCCATTTTCATTTCTGTCCAACAGCTTTCCCCCAAGCTCATGGGGCCCACGTGGGAGCCCTCTTTTCGGGGCTTCCTGCCAGGTTTCTGCTTAGGGAGTGAGACCAACACAGAAAAGAACAGAACAAGAGGAAATGACAGATTCCTGATGATGGATACCATCTAACCCTGATTCAAATGTGCCTGAAAATTGTATATGACTAGACTTTTAAATACATGAGCCAAATCTCTACAATTCCTCTCTGTGTAAGCTTCTTTCACTTACCACTATGCAAGTCCTAAGACAATGTCTGCTAATCCCTAAGAACAGTTTGAGTTCATATCACAACATAAAGCAATTTGTATTCTCACTGGTTACTTGTTGCTGGGATTCATGTCACTGGTATTTATTGTCCTGCTAGGATTAAGGGTATGAAGATGAGCTCTTCGATAGCACAATAATAAGTAATTAATTTTTTTCAAAAAAGTTAATTTTTCCTATGCTTATTCCAAAATGTAGTTTTCTCTGGACATCTGAGCCTCTTCTCTTGGTTGATGTGTATCTTAAAACTAAAGGACATCTCATCCATTTTAATATGGGGATATAAACTAAAATGCAAAGCAGGGACTTTGGGGGGAAAGTTTTCATTTATTTTCGATAAAGTAAATCCCAAGCTTCCAGTTGTTCTATATGAAACATTCCCAAGGCAGGAGGATTTTTCAGTGCAGTGAAATTAACTGTGTCACTTTGCAGGACAATTGCTCATGCTGTATGCTTGCCTGTCTCTCTGCTTCTCCATTTGCCTATGATGATGCAATTTGTCTTCTGGTAATGGATGGGTCACACCTCAGTCATTGATTTTAGCCTCTGAAGCTTGCTCAAGAAATGTCCAAAGTTCATTGTTTTGGGGATTTTTTTAATCTTTTATAACTGGTGAAAATAATTTTATGATCTTGATGGAAATGTGAGTACATGTGCACCCATGTTATGAATGTGTGTGCATGTTTTGTACTAAAATACATACAGTTGCCTAATGTTATAATATATGGTGAGACTGTAGTTGCTATAGAAACAATAAATCAAAATTTCTGATCATTGAGGTAGGGTGATACAGTGGTGGTCACTATGATCAACTGAAAGGTTACTGGTGAAACCAAAGTAAAGATTTAAGAGAGAGTAACTTTCTCTACTTTAGTGTTCAGGTCAGAGCAATTGACTCTTGCACTGTGCCCACTAATCATACCCATGAGAACCAGGCTGAGGCTTTCTCTGATTGTTTTATATGGCTTTTGGACTTTCCAAATTGTATTTAATGTTTTATATTATATCAAATCATCAGGGTATTTTTTGGTAATGGAACATATTTACACCCAGATTAGTGTCCACACAAGACAAATGGTCGTTGTCAAAATGGCAAATATGTCTTTCATTTGGAGTGTGATATCTTGACATTTTCTTTTCACTCCTTTAAGTGTAAGTTGATCTGTCAGGTGGTGCACACTTAACACACTCATGAAAAAAGAGCATTTCTTAGAACCCCTGTGTCTACTGTAGATTTTTTTGTAGCTTCTTATGTAGACCTGACAGTTTTGCATTGTTAAAGCTTGGAAGATCAGCCAATGAGAAGTTCATGAATCTGTGTTTTTTTTCTGTACTTACCATATGTAAAGGGAATGGGAGAGTCATGTGGCTTGCTGGGGTGGCCTCACTGTTTAGACTGTTTAGTGAAGGTGCTCTGTGCCTATCACAGGATTATACTGCATGGATGTGAGGATGGATAGGGAATGGTTCCTGCCTTCAAGAACCTGCTGGACCACATGAAAAGAGAACATGTGTTGTGGCTGCTCACAAAGTGGGGAGGGCACAGCAACAAGGTCAACAAATACAGCCAACTATGAACCCAGATGAATGGGCAAATGAGGAAGATGAGGGGGAAGAAAAATTTGAGATGGAACTCATTGGAAGGATATAAAGGGAAGGCTATGTTTAGTCTTAGTGAAATTAAAAAATCATAAATCTGCTATATATACTCTACAGAATGTGTTGAATACTGCAATCTAATAGAGACAAGCTCAAGAAAATGATTTAAGCAAAGATACAGATCAGACCTGACCCAGTGGTGAAGGGACAGTGAGCAGATTGGTTATGAGGGGCTCAAATAAATCCTCTCTGTCCAGGAAGTCATGAGGGCCATGAATGATAGGTTAGGAAACATGGGCTGTACATGTATCAGTGGATACATGCTGACCCTGAAAGCAACATAAGTTAAACTCAAACAAAATAATATGGGCTGAAGGTGAAGATGTAGGATGGTGATAAATAGTAAATTTTCAACTAGTACTTAGTGGGGACTAACCAGTCAATGAATGTGAATAGAATTTGGTTATGAATAAAACCAATGTGAAGCAAATACAAAAGGCCCTTTGGGACAATAGCTGCTGCTCAGTGACTGTGAAGACTTAGGTCTGGTTTAAGTCTTCCACAGGATGAGCTCTTCCCTCAAGTTTTTATTCCAGGGTTATTGTCACAACTGGCCTTCATTGTGGATATGAATTGAAGAGAAGGGGATTTTAAAGCTTGGGGTTTTTTTTTGTTTTTTGCCTGTGAAATTGTATGAAGTATGCACAATGTCAGAGGTATTTTTTTTTCCCCCTCACTGAGAAACTTTGAGTGAGTTATAGACAGATTTACTCCTCTTGAGAAACTGGCCTACTTTGCTGTCACAGAGATGAAGACACAGTCACATAGACATTGGTGCAACTGTGAAGGTGGAACCTACCATTGTCAACCCAGAGGATTTTTAAAAATACAATGAGAAATTTGTGTCTTGAGGTTTAAACACATGAGTTGTGTCTGCCATGGGGCAGTCATAAGGTGGTAAAGTGAACCATACTTTTGATACAAGTTGTAGAATGTCATACAAGTTTTGTTTCTGTATATTTTCACAATCAATTGTGTTCTAAAGTTAAATTTTGTGATCTTTCTTTCTTTTTCAAAGGATCTGCTTAAGAAATGCTACTCGGCTGAGGCATCTTACCTGTTCCAGCAGGATAAATTCTATGACATCAGCTATGACACAGGAGACAAGTCTATCCAGTGTAGCAGGAAACCTGATGCATTTAAGTTCTGGATGACCTGGAAGGCTGTGGGCACACTAGGCCTTGAAGAGAGAGTTAATCGTGCCCTTGCTTTATCTAGGTAATTGTGTGTGTGTGTGTGTGTGTGTGTGTGTGTGTGTGTGTGTGTGTAGTGTGCACGACAGAAAGACCAAATGAAAGTAATATTGACAAGGTCTGTGCATGCTCCTTTTTTGTGGATTCCTTTTCTCATGCAATCAACATTTTCTTAGCCTCTTCTATGTGTTAGGAATTATGGACAGAGCCCTACTATCTGTCCTGCAAGGTCATAGCCTACTGAGAGACACAGTAAGGTTGGGTGAAACACAGGTGACTTCCTTTTAGTGCTCAAGAGGGCTTCCCAGTGTGACCTTAAAGACCACTGCACAGGCTTCTTGGAGTCTGACATTCAGCTGAGACCTAGGTAAAGAGGAGTGAGGAAGGGGTCCAGGTAGATGCAAGACCAGAGTCAAGTCTCTCGTTGTGAAGAGACTAAGTCTGTTGTGACTTCAAGGACTTTTAAAGCATACCTGTAAGAACATGGGATAATGGGATGATACAAAGAAAAAGGTGATGTGGAAATGTTATGTTTTCATGCTTTTTACTATCATTAAAAACAAAGCTTTTGTCATAATTTTCAAAGACAGCAGAAAATCTCTTGATATACAGACCAGCCACTTGCCATCTGAAATGGACTGAACTGCTAAACTTAGATCAGTGGGTGCAATGGACAAGCCACGCTCAAATCTAATTTTAAATGTTTTCTTGTGCATGTACTGTATAGGGATGAGCTTCATGGTGTTAAAAAGCATTCAAATATTTAAAATACTTAAACTAGAGTTCTTCAAGTCTAGATTTTTGGCTTCTCTCAAAGGATTCAAAGGCCATTAATCCAGCATATCACCAACCAGCTAAATGTGATGCTGTGGAGTCTGTGGAGCCCCCATCACTTCTTAATGCTTTTGAGTTTTTGTTAAATCTGGCCAATTGACTACAGCATGGAGGTTTAAATAAACCTCGCTCAAAACTTAGCTGTACCATTTATAAGCTGTATGACTTGGCCAAGTTTCTTAATTTCTCTGCATCTCAGTTTGATCTAGAAAATAGCAATAATAATTACAACTATTTCAAATAGTTACAGCAGGGACTAAAGGAATTAACACACATAAAACACTTGAAACAATGCCTGGCATATGCTATAGACTACATGAATTTTTTTTTCTTACCTGCCTGGACACTGGGAGCATCAGTTCCTGACCTCTTGTTTGGAGGATCTTTCCATATCACAGGCAAAATCCTGAAGTATCTCCTTGGAGATTTGCAACAATTTCTTCTTCTATTCTGGGAATGGAGTGAGTGTCCTGTGCAAGAAAACTGTCTGAAACTTAGTGTCTTAAACACCTATTATTTGTTCCTGGGATCTGCAGTTTGGCTAGAGTGGTGTTACCGCACACTGTTGGTGGCTGGGCATTGGGGTTCTCCATGTTTCTTTCCTCTTCATTGCACCAGTAGGCAGCTTGAAGCATACTCTTTTTTTTGTGGTACTGGGATTTGAACTCAAGGCCTCACGCTTGCTATGCAAGCACTGTACTTCTTGAGCCACTCAGCCAGGGGCATATTCTTGTGACAACTATGACAGAAGCCCAAGAGGGCATGTGTAGTCATGCAGGCCCACTTTGCACACCTGATTAACTATGTGTACCAGCATTCCATTGGCCAAAGCAAATCACATGGCCACATTCAATTTCAAGAAGCAGGAAGTACCATCTACCTTTTGTCAGGATGATTAGGGCTTGGGTATGAGAATAGTTGAAGAGATGGCTTTGTAACTTTCAGAAGACATTTAGAGGTCAACAAACCTGGTGATTATATTTTAAGAAGCAGTTTATACATCTGTGAATATTGTATCAGGGGTCTTTTGGTGTGATAAAAACCTTACTCAAGCTATTATAAACAAAGAAAAGAAACCTCATGTTACTTACAAGACTAGTATAGTGATGGCTTCTGGAGTGGCTAGATTAGGGGGCTTAAAAATATCATTAGACCTCAATCTCCTTCTTTCAGCCATGTATTTCTTCATGTTGGGTTTATTTTCATGTAGAATGATGGCTGTCAGAAAGTCAGATCTATATTCTTCAAGGTTAAGGTCAAATGAAGAGTGTGCTCCTCTTTCAGCAATCCCAAAGAAAGTTTAATTATTTTGTGAGTGCGAGAAATGTTCATCTCTGAATCCAGCACTGTTACTGGGGAAACATGAGGTCAAGCTGAGTTGCATGCCCTGGCTTGGCTTTGAGAGAGCATTACTTCATTCTGTAGGGCACATGCTGAAGCTAGGGGAGGGTGTGCCTTTCCTAGAACTGGGGTTGATGTGCCTCTGTTAGAGGTAGGGAGATACCTATTCAGTAGTGAAAAAATATGACTACCATAAATATTCATAGATGTCCATTAAATTAAAAGTCCAGGAAGCTCTGTTTCCTGCTTTATAATTTCTTGTTCTATTTAAATGTGTCAGAATCACACATTATTTTGCCTAAGCTGCTAAGTAATTCAATGACAAGTATCTTGAAATAAGGCTAGATATAAATATTTGATGATCATATTTATTATGAAATTAACATTCATCTCAGGGTGGAATTTAGTTTATAGTCTAAGGATACATTCTAATTTTTGCCTAGAAACATCACAGGAGGATAAATGTTAACGTTTCAATGCAATTCAACAAACAGTTGTTGTTTGTAAATGTTTGTCAAGTTGAATTGAATTGAATTAACATTTCAGTAAGCATCACTGCAGAGTCTGTGACCTATGTTTAAATATTTGAAAAAAATCTCCTTTTCCTGCTGCTACTCACAATAACTTGGTTTTTTTTCCCTGAACTTTCCACACTCTTGATGACTAACAGTATATTCCAGAAGTCACCCTGTACCCCAACTTTCAGTGCCAAGAAAAAGGACAGTCTTTGTATGCATGCTGCTGGGAATGAATATGAAATGATAAACTTGGATAGAGTTTCTCTAGGATTAAGAATCATAGTAAATTAACAATAGCAGGGCTTTATTTTAATGATTTTATTTCTTTTGAGATTTACTGATTAGTACTCCTGCTTTTTAGGAAGGATAGAATATTATTAATTCTGGAATCTGTTTTGTTTGCTGAGCCTATATAAGTGGAATGATGATAAACTGTCTCTCAGGAGAAAAAAGGAAAAAATTCCAGTTTGTAGTCTGCAAATTACCATGGTATAAATATTCTCATCATGCCAGATTGAAAGATAGCAACAGTTGGGTTAGGTGGGTTTGCAAAAGTCCTGAGAATTTTGCAATGGTGGCTCGTCAGCCAATTCAAGCTGGTGAGAACTCTGCTGATTCTGTGTGCATAGCCTCATAATCTGTTCCAACTGCTGAAGGATTAGAGTTAAAATATTATTTGTTCTCAAGCCTCCTGACCCACAGGAATTTGCTTCAGAGTTACCAAATAAAAAAGTTGTCAGCTATACTTGGAAAGCTCTACGTGGCATAATTTCTAATTCAGAGTAGCACCTTCACGAAGAATAATTTCCTTCAGTGGGTAACAACTCTGCACAGTGGAGCAGCTTGTGATGATGGTGTTACAGTGTGTGGTGCATACCTATTATCAGCAGGCTGCTTTCGTTAAGACATCCATTTCTCTAGACCCTAGGTTAGGTCCGTTAAACCATGCAACTTCTCCCCTGTCCTATCACAGTAAAATTTGCAATTAATTCCATGGAAACAGTTATCTCATGATCTTGAATGTAAATGGAGCTTAATTTTGAAATTTGTATGTTGATCTTAAGAGTTAAGGACCAGATTTTTATAGAGTAGTGATCACTACGCTGATCAGATTGTGTTCCCTCTCTTCCCTGAGAAAGTAAGAACAGATAGTTTTAAGAGCACAATGATTCTTATTTTATGGGTTGTCTGAAATTCAGCAAAACAAAAAAATGTAGTACCCAGGAGACTGCTAAGGATTTTTCTAATTTCAATTTGATCCTGTCATTCTAATCGAGGAGAGAACATTTCTTCAAGAAATAATGATTAAAAGTCTTTTCCTTTGGCTATTGGAAAAATTAGTGACACTGACAGCCTAAAGCAACATGTGCTATGAAGCATAATTGTCACTGGAGGGCTGAGGTTTAAAACCACCTCTTCTGGCACAAAATGCATGATTAAAGTACTCTGACATCTGCCTAGAAGAGTTGGCTGTGTTTCCCAGCACCCAGGCCTACCTGTTGCTGAGGGCACTTCCAGGCCTTGTTGTGGCCTTCAGGGTCAGTGGATGGATACTCAGTAAGGGGTAATTGTTAAAGCAGGCATAGCATGTGTGTAAGTCTTTTCAGCAACAACAAACAGCTTAGAAGCTCCCATTCTGCTACTTTATTGGGTCTCCAGTGTATCATTCATCAATTCCCTTGGCACAGGATCTCCCCGGTCTCTCAGGTGGAATGCATTTCATGACTTGCATGAATACTGAGGAATTTATTGCTGTCAGTCTGGAAGTTGCACAGTGGTGCATTTGCACTTATGTATTTCCCTAGGTGAGGGGAGGAACAGTCTGGAAGGGCCAATGTTTTGATTTTCTTTTTCTTTAAATGGATAATTTTTTAAAGAATCACAATTGCATAGAAAAGAGCATGTGGGTATTTGTGATGGATTGCAGAAGCCTTGAATTGTTCTAGTAGGTACAGCACATACAGAAAGGAGATGCCTTCAGAGTTCTCGGAGGCTCTGTACAGCTTTCAGAAGGCTGCTGAGCTGAGAAGGATGAGAATGGCAGAGAAACTTGGTCCAGAGTCTTCCAGGGAGGCGCTCAAGTGGCTGGTAAATTGAGAAATGAAAAGGTTGTTTCCAGAAATAAAAGAGTAGCTTGCAAAAATGACAAACGAAACCCCCAAAACTGTAATGGACTCGTGGAGAACTGAGATTCTCTAACATTGGGAACACGTTTGTCTGTAAGGGAAGGAGCACTCTTTTGGAGCAAGAGTGTCATTAATGTTAATGATCATTGTAGACCAAGCCAGAATATTAATACAAACTTTACCCCAGTAGGATTGATGAAAATGCTTACTAATATGTGTTTTTTCTCCCTTCTCTTTTATGCCAAGCTTATAGGGAGAGTCAGTGATGAGGTTAGTGAACGTACTGTTGCTTTTGGGGTCCAATTTACTTGCATGCCTTTGATGGAAGTAGTGTGATTTCTGTGTTATGCCCCAAAACTGAATCTACATCTTTTTTCTGGCTTCTAACATATATTAATAGTTTTTTTAAAATGTATTTTATCTTTAGGCTGTTCCCTTATATTCAAAAAAAAAGCTGCTAGGAATAAATCATCCCTATCAGTGTAGACAGAAGTGACCCAAAACTGATTTGGATTCTCTCCTAACACTTCATTTCATTTAAACATTTCTTTAAGAAGAGGATAAGGTTTCTTATAGAGGAAGTACTTCTATGACTAGTGTTTCCAAGCTGTGCTCTGTGACATAAATGACTTCTAGAAGATCTTACTAGATAATCTATCAAAACAAAGGCTCATGGTCAAACATGTTTGGGAAATGTTAACTACTCTATTATTCTTCTCTTGGAAATTCTGAGTGCTTACATAGACATTAAAGGCTCTAAGAAAGCCTGCAAAATAGAAGCACTTTTCATGGTTGACTGCTCACCCAGCAACCACTCTCTCTTCTTCCTTGTCAGCTGGAGCTTAAGTTCATTGAGGTAGTAATGGTCCAGCTTGGAACATTGCTGTGCCACCAATGAGTTTAAAGTTGAGCTCATGGCTCTGTCCATACGATACAGGAAGAATTCTATGAAGACCTCTGGGAAAAATGTTCTTACCTAAATAGAGGGAGGTTTATTTATGAAAAGTACATTTTTGTTATAGTCTCATCTATTCCTTCTGGGGACACTGTTATGTGAAGATGTGACATATCTAGTGGTAATCATCCTGTGAACATGAGATGAGACCTCACTAACAAACACCCTAAGCATAGAAGGCTCAGTGTTTGTCAGTGATAGAAAATGCCTGGTTCCTGGCAACACTGTGGAGCCACCCAACAAGCTTGGTAAATGGCCAGGTGAACTAAGCCAAGTATGCTTCCAGTTGTGGACAAACACAAACAATTTGCTAAACCTGGCGGTGCTCAAACTTGGTTTACAGTGGAAACTTTTTTATGTGGAAAACCTGGTAGCATGGTTTACCAGGAAGCATAACTTGGGGATTCTGGTTAGACTTTTGTTTTCATAATAATAGCAGCATCTCCTCATCCCCCCTAAACACCTGGTCAATTGGACATTGACCCAATGGTTTTACAGGCTCTGATGATGATAGCAGGGTGAATGCGGACCCCAACACAGGTCTAGGTCTACATGGTTAGAAAAAGCAGAATTTTAACTATAATAATTTAGCTCAGTTTTAGGAAGACTTTTCCCCAAAAGCAATGTTAGCCCATTGATAGAAATATTTTTAATTGAGACTACAGGCAGTGAGTGTAAGTTTCCCACAGTCATAATCTATCAGGAAAGGATTTGACCAGTTTGGTTCCACGTCTCCTTTACATACATGAGGACACTTAGGTGGCTCAGGGACCCAGGATTGCCAAGGGTCACACTGTTGACCAGCTGTGCCATTAGCAATTTCAAGCCTGGAGTTGTTTCCTGGGTTTCTTGTGAGGTGGAGTGTTTGTGAGAGCCTCTGCCCATTGAGGGCAGTGTCAGCCTCCTCAGGGTGAATCCACAGCCCAGGCTTCTGAATTATGGATTAACGTTTGGCACATTTGTGCCTATGAAGATGAGAAAAGGGATGGTTCTCAGAGCTTCCCTCATAAGTAGAGGTTGTATATGTCTGTTTGGTTGTGTGCTTTACATTTTTCTTTCAGCTCTTTTTCAAAAATTGCACCAGGAACTATACCTATGAAACTTTGCAAAGATGCATAAAAAGAAAGTGATAACCCTGACCCCAAGTGAACAGGCTGAAGCAGTTTGGAACACATTCTTTTATATTGTGCTCTGTGCTCTTAATTGCTGTGGACAGAGAAAACTTGTACCTTCTTTAAAAATGGGATTGAATTATCCATGTTTCTCAATACCTTGGTCATTATAGTGTTAGAAATATCTGGGCACTGATACTATCACAAATCAGAAAGTTGATGGGCAAGGCAAAATTTACCTCTGCAGAAGGGTGTACCTCTGACTGGGTCAGGCAAGCAAGCACATAGGATGGACGAACCATATCAGTTTTTATCCCTAATGCAGGACTGCCTCTTGTTCTAATGTAGGGAGCTTGGGTTCACAGTCTTCACAAATGACTAAGGTTGAGATTTAGGGAAGGGCATAGAGGAAGGGCAGACACGATTGGAGTGCATGGGCACGAAACTTAATTTGGTTGGTGTTTACAAAAACAAAGGGGTGACCCATCAGGCAGGAATTCTAGGATTCTGGGGAACCTGAGGCCTGAAATGACTGTTTACTGAAATGGCAGCACCAGGTATATAATTAACCCATGGGTCAAGGAGGTCTTGAAGCAGAAATTCCTTTGGACAATGATTATCTTAAAACTACCAGTTTGAGTTTAGGACATCCGATGACAAACAATTCTCTGCTAAAGGCAGATACTTTACAGAGTTAGGCAATGTGCCACAGAGCACATAGGAAACTGGGGAAATTAGCTAATATCCACACAATGACAAACATATTCCATAGTGTGGTACCTGATGGGTATAGGATAGAAAGGGTCTCAAACCCATGACACTGAGACTAAGAGTCTCACGCTCTACCAACTGAGCTAGCCTTTAGACAGAAAAGACCCAATTTAGTTGATTCTCACAATGGTATGTTTTAATTTACCATCATCCAACTTCTAGATATTAACCTTGTTTCAGGTTGTTTTGTATAGAATACATAGTCAGAGCTTTAAATACAATAACATATGTATATGTATATATGTGTTTCTGTATATAATATCTCTATCATTTGTATTAGCTTTTTTTCTAACAAATTAGCACAAAAGTGGTTTTCTTAACCAGAAGATATGAGCATTACATATTTTAAAAAGTTGATAGCAGTTTTCTGCCATATTCTTACTAGTGCTGGATGCTGCCACTCTTTCAAATTTGTTTCTAGTACCATAGGGAGGGTGGTAGCATGGTTCAAGTGATAGAACACCTACCTAGCAAGCACAAGGTCTTGAGTTCAAACCCCAATACTGCCAATACCATGTGGGGACCATGGGTAAGTATTATTTGTTTTCATTTGCATTTCTTTGATCACTAGTGATCTCAAGTATCTTTTCTGATGCTTATTAACCATTAAAATTTGTTTTCAAAAAGCATTTGGCAGTAAGGTTAAGGTTCAAAAACTTTATAGCTATATAACATCTCCTGAAAAAATATTCAGGGAAATGAATATGCAAGCAGAACACCAAATACTTTGTGACTCTGTGTGTGTGTTGATAACATTGTTGATCAAAATAAAGGATAAATATTACTAGTTAATATTAATAGAAAAGATATCTATATGAAAACATCAATATTTAACCTTATGTGAAAATCTACATAGATAAATTATGGAATAAAAACTATCTTATAAACTAGTATATTGCATATTCACATACTAGAATGGTCTTAAGCAAATAATGTTATAATAAAACCCCCTCTTTACACATCTTCTATAGTTTAAAATATTTTTCTGTATGAATTTATTCAATTTTTTATAATAACATTTTCAGATTGGGAAAGTAGATTGTATTAGTCCAATTTTACAGGTAAAGGAATGAGGCACAAGAATAGGTTCCTGAAAAATAATTGGAGATTATATATGTATACACACACACTATATATATATATATATAAAAGTAATATTGTCCTAGTCCCATAATTACATGACAAGACTGTAATTTTCAAAGCCAGTCCTTACTATTGAGTGTGGCGTTTCTTTTTTTTTTTTTGCTATTACAAATGAGATCACAATAAATCTCTCTGGCAAATACATTTCTTTCAGCACTCTGAACATTTCCTCACATTTGTCCCCCAGATTTGAAATACAAGGTCAAGCATTGTGAACTTTTTAGATTCATGATCAAACCACTAATTTTCAGTTGACCATTTCAGGCTTCTCTTTTATGTAGCTGAAAACCAAGCCAAGGGGGAGAAGATACAGTGTTATTTTACATTTTATGTTCTCTGTATCATTTTAGTCTTTACCCAATAATATTCCATTTCTTGTATATCTGAACCCTTTGTTCCTGGTATAACATTTATATTCATTCCAGATAATATTTATATTCCAGATGGAGCCATAGACATCCAATCAATGTCTATAGCTTGCTTATTTTTTTTAACATGACACTGATTATCAACCTTCCTTGCCTCTGTTCTGCCCATGGAAAAGATAATTTTGGTCTTCCATTAAATTACAAGCAAGGACTGCACACCAAAATCTCTTCCCTCCAAGACAGAAAGGTAATTTAAATATCTGTGCTTAATCTGCATCAAGAATTTGGGTCTGAAACCAATATGTTCAGAGATATATATCTACTCTACTTTATCTGGCTTTTCATACTAGAGTTAAAAGCTGGTGTTAGCATGTGAGGTAGACATTATCTCATTAAAAAGGTATATCCTTCTACTGAGGCTCAGAGGATTGCAGTAAACTCAGGAATACCTGTTTAAATACATAGCTCTGCCTATCCCTGTGCTCTTACCTGTATCTTTTTAGAGACTAAGCCTTTCTCTGTATCAGAAATAACAGTTTTGTCTTAATTAAGTCATGTTCATGGTGTTTTAAGATTAAAGATTATGAACACTGTAATTTTTAATTTTAGGTACCTAGTAGAGGAAATCAAGAAAAGAGAAGGATTCAAGTTACTGATGGAAGTAAGTTATTGTGGAATTGTGCTTACGATTTTGTCAGTCAACAGTGATGAAGGTGGTAATTTTCTAATCTGTTATATTTCATTAGTTTTCATGTTGCAGACTTAGAAACAAGTCATTAGCTTAATTTGTGGAGTCCATTATGCTAATTTACTCTATTAGTGATCATTTTTTCTTTGTTGGATTCACAGGGAATATAGTTGCCTTTAAGTTGAAAATTAAAAAGCTCAATAATAATTACCAGGGATAATGCTGAGTAAATTATGACCTCTATCTTGATATATAAATTGCATTAATGATTGTACTGCAAATATTCAATTGTACTGTAATGCTGCCTGCATATGAAAAATCAATTAAGGGAATGTACAACAATGTGTGCATTTTCTCTTCTTATAAAATAATGAGAGCATATTAGTTTTGGAGCAATGGGAACTAGTCATTTTGTTGTTGAATTATTTGCTATATAAGGAAATCAGGTAATTACAAAGATGGAGAATATTTTTCTAAAATATCTGGTAAGGAAATATAAGGAATATAATTTAGTTTTGAAACATAAATTGTGGTTAACTTTGGTCTTATAGCACATACCTAATGTAAAATCACCTAGAGACTGCAATCTAGAAGCCTGTGCTGTATGTAAGAAGTGTAGGTATTTTTTGCTAATCTTTTGTCCAGCCAACATATTGCACAATTGCTATGTGTCAGACACAGTTCTGGGCACTGGAGATACAAGATAGGAGAGGCTCCTGCTCTGTGGCACTTACATTCAAGTGGAAAGTAAAAAGGAATGAACAAACAAGTTGACAGAGGGAACATCAAGTAGGGAGAAGTCTGAAGAAAACAAACAGGCCCATGAGAGGCAATCCAGTGTACACATAATTATTCTAACAGCAGTAAATAGGGTGACACTCTGAAATGGGAGTGTGTGTATGAGGTGTTTGCTTAGTTTGGACAACTGAGGTGAGAGCTTGTAAGTTTATCACCAAGCTGAGGCCTTACAGCAAGCCAGGCAGATGCTCGAGGGAAAGGCACTGTGGGCAGATTTGGCAAACAATTGCAAAAACCTAAAGCTGAAGAGGTCTATGTGTTTGAACTGCCAAAAGATGGTGTCACCCAGTAGGTGATGGATTTGGCGAGGTAGGTAGAAACCAGATTGGGTGGATCAAGTAGATGCAGATAAGACCTTTGGTTTTCATTCTAAATGCAGTTATTGGAGATGTTTTGAGAAGGAGTCCTGAATCTAATTTAAAAAGATGCTGCAGGTGGGCATCAGAGGGAAGGAATGTGGTGATGATGAGGGTGAATGGATGACAAGATGAGAATAAAGGGCACAAATTTGGAGACCGCACAATAGTCCACATGAGTTTGGTGAAAATCCTCAAGCAAGTTCAAGAAGCAGTTGTTCTAATGCAGAGCATGGTTTCCACCACTGTCTACAAAGGAGGTATCAGATTTGCAAGTTCTAAAATAATGAAAACCAGAGAGGTAAAGGAATCTGCAAAGCAACATGACAGAAAAGCAAAAGACAAATTTAGAATGCAGATATTCTGAAAGATAGGTGACCTGGTTTCTTCAACAGGCCAGTGACTTGAAGAAACATAAAAGATGGGTGTGATAATTACTTAAGGGCAAAGACACTTATGAGGCACAATAACCAAATGCAGTATGTAGACTTTGTCGGAATCCTAACTTGAACAAACCACCTGTGAAAAGGAAGTTTTAGAACAGTTGGCTAGTAATGAATGTGAACCAGCTTTTAGAGCACTGTTGATATTTTTACTCGTCATGATAATGGACTTCTAATTATGTATGCATGTGGCTGTTTTTAGAGGTACATATCTAAACATGTGTGGGAGAAACAAATCATTTGATTGGCTTAAATCATGCTTGAACCACCTTTTATATTTTCTTGAATTTGAGTTACGTCTTTATTTTCCCCAATTTTGGGGGGAGAGTATAATGGGGCCTCAAGTGTGCTAGGCAAGCAGTCTACCACTTGAGCCCTTTCCCAGTCCTTTTGCATTTAGTTTGTTTTTGAAATAGGGTCTTGTGCTTTTACCTGGTGAAGAACCACCATCCTCCTATTTCTACCTCCCAAGTAGCTGGGATTACAGGCATGCACCAGAATGGCACGGCCTATTTTCCCAAATTTGGGTTGCCTTGTTTTCTCTGGTGATGGGACCTGCAGTGTTTATGGAAAGTACCATACACTTTTTTTTTTTTTTGTAGTACTTGGGTTTGAATTGAGGGCTTTGTGTTTGCTAGGAAGTTGCTCTACCCCTTTAGCCATGCTTTCAGCCTAGAACTGCACAATCCTTTGATAGAGATGAGGAAAAAATGAAAATGATGAGAAAAAAATAAGCTGTTTAAAATGTTATTTGCATATTTTTCCTACAGGTTGAAAAAAGTGAGGAAGGAATCTGTTAGGGTCATCTTCTAGGAGTGACTTTCACATCCTTGTGACAAAAATTAAGGCAGGTTTTGACCATTTGGTAGCCTTCTGCCCCTGGATGTGTTTTTCTATGGGAGCTTCCAGGTCCTGGTAGTACAGGTGAATCCTTAAACTATCTTTCAGAATTTCTACTATTCATGTTTCTTTTTTTTGTGTGTGTGTGCTTGGGATAGAACCCAGGGCTTTGTGCAAATGCTTCCCATTCTCTGCCACTGGACAGTGGCCCCAGCCCCTAATTATAAGGATTGTTCTGTGGATTTTTGCCTCTTTTCTCTTTATTCTAAGAAATAAAGTCGATTTAGCCTTGAATTTCACATGGAAGTGTCAAGTTGATGTGTGTGTGTGCGTGAGAGAGAGATAGAGTATTGTTTAGCAGATAGCCATAAGAATATTAAGTAGAACACTGAAAACAGTAAATGAATACAACAAAATAGAGTACCCAGTACTTGAATATCTTTTCTTGAAAAAAACAAAAAGTAATGAATATCTTCTTTAAAATGATTGAAAGTCTCATTTTAAATAAAATCTGCATTATTCATAGTCCCCTGAAAAATCAGATCTCTGGTTTTACCTGTGTTGTATCTAAGATTTTATAGATGTTTTCCTAGAGCTATCTTCATTCCTATCCTATCATTCACATATTTCATTTTGATCTCTTGGGAGATTCCTAATTATTCAACTTTTTGTTTTCTCTTCCTGAGTTCTACAGTAAAAAGAGTTATTTAGGCTTCGTAGATTTCAAGAGCCGTGAAGGGTCTTCAAGGACATCTAGTCATCCTTCAAGGACATCTATTACATGAAACCTCTCTTGACAGCACAGGAACGGGTGGTCAACCTCTGCTTGAACACCTCTTCTAGGGAGCTCATATTCATGTCCCAATATCTGTTGAACCTTAGTACAAAGCATATTGTGATTTATCTTACATAGTTATCATGTTATATAGTTTTATGAGATCATAGCAACCTCTCAATTGCTATATTTAAACATATAGTGTTTTATTTTCTTTTTAGACTTCTGTAGCATTTTATACTGTTATCCATTCTGTCCTTCTTGAAATTCTCCCCTGTGTTGGTTTTTTTGACTTTCTTTCCCAGTTTCTCTCCTTTCCCATGTGACATTTTCTTCTCAGTCTCTCTGTGATGTTCTCTTCATCTAAATACCCTTTAAATATTCTTCCTCATGCTCTTATTTTTGGTCCTTTATTCTGTCCACATAGTTTACCTAAAATGTTTTATCCACATCTAGAGTGCTATATAGTCTCAATATTGTCTCCTAAAGTCTAGTCCCTTGTGTATGGGTATGTTTTGCAGTTTGACCTAGACTCCACAGGCACTTCAATTTGCCATTTCTAAAGCTGAAATGTAGCCATTTTTCTTACCCAAAATATGCATTCTTCATTTGGTCATTAGAACTATGATCCATCCAAGCAAAAATCTTGATATCATCTTTCACTGTCTCCCTTCCTTTCCCTTTATCTCTCTTGGGTACTTAGTTTTCTCCTTTCCCAAAGCCAGTGTCTTGGCTCAGTAACCCTTCACTGCTTAGGTTAGTGCTGTCTCTCATTTCCAGTCATAGACCTCTCCAGCCCATCCTCCACTCTGCAATTTGAATGGATTTTCCAAAATGAAACCTGTTTCCTAGGGCACCAAACTACACTTACCCCACATTGCCCAAACCCCCAAGATGACATATGAGGAAGCCGTTTATGAAATGATTCCCATCTCTATTTCCAGCTTTGCGTCTCTTCATTAAATCCTGTCCTCTATTCATTCCAACTGTTTATCATCCCCTGCCTACACTGGCATGTGTACTATTTCTTTGCCAGAAATGTTTCTTACATTATGAGAAATCTCTTCTTTTTTAATGCTCATTCTATTACAGTCTAATTGCCTTACCTAACACCCTTACTTGTATTTGAGTTTCTGGAGGTGAGAATATAATGTAAGTCACTTTTCATCTCAATGTCTAGTCCAATATTAAAAACATAGAAAACTCTGCTTCTTATGTTGAACAGTATGGTTGACTTTAGATATTCTATAAATTTTAGTGATCTTGTTCAAGTATGGTACTCTGAAATTAGCACAGAGATGCGTCTCAACTACTACAGATTTTAATGAGGCTGCTCATCTACTTGAAAAGGGTATTTTTCTACCAGTACAGCCCCAAACAATAGTCACTAGCTAATCAAGTTGCCTGCATGTGCCAGATATAGTACCAAATATTGGAAGTAAATTCTTTTTATTCATCAAACCAACCCTGTGGCACAGACTATGATATCTCTACATTATAGATGAGGAAGCAGAAACTTAGAACATTTGACACTAACTCAAGCAAAGATCTGGTGAATTGGGAATTCAAATGTACATCCTTGTGACTCCAAAACTCACCATTTTGTGCTACTTGGTGTTGCCCTTAAAATTTTCAACAGTCCAATCTTGTATTTAAACTCTAGGATCTTATAGTCTGTTACAACCCACCATGACAGCTTTGCCTTCATACTGAATTTGCATGATTGAATACTTGAAAGTGTGTGCTAGAGTCTGCAATTATGCTGACTAAAATGCATAGTGCTAGCTTTTTATTGCTGTTATTCTGATTGAATGACATTGTAAACAAAGAAGATGATGCTTTTATATGCGTCTTCATAGGGAAGAAAAAAACCCTAAAAGATATATAAGAATAACTGATGTGTAGAACAGCTACCATGGCTAGAACTGAGATAGAGTATCTGAAAAAAAGGCTACAAAGGATCTTTGTAGGGCCAAGATCCAGATCTCTTTGGGGAATGTAACGGTGGCTCACAGGATGGCAAGAAATGCACTGAAGTGTCATGTTGGTAAGACTTGTCAGAAACCCACACTTTGGAGTGCCCAGGGAAGCCAGTCAGAGTGAGAATCCACAACTTGGACCTCACTGCAGGCTACTCATAGAAGCACCAGAGAAGCCATGCAGGCAAGGTGCCTGGCTAGTGTCCATACCTGTGAAACCACTCAAGAGGAATATGACAACGTATAGTTATGGACCCTGACCTGTTGCTAGTCTGCTTTGGTGCCCAGCAAGGGGGAAGCTTCTGGGGGGTCATTTGCTGCTGGACACCCAGTCCTGCTAGAAAGAACCACAGTTCTGCAGGAGACCCACGAGGCATGCATACCAAGCCAATGTTCCTCTAGCAACCTCTCTTGACAAAGTATAAGATGGGCCAGGTGATAACAGAGAAATATGTACAGAGCCCACCTCTGTTATTGTAGGACACCAGGAAGAGGTGAATTTGGGGCTGAGAGGCAATACATTTATAACTGACATAAGTCATTGATGTAAAGCGATGAATTTCTAGAATCTACTGATAGTTAATTATATTTTTCTTCTATTATCTAATCAGAAACAGTTGCCTAATTTGAAAGATTATTCACATTAAATGATTGAAAGAAACCAAGTTGATTATAAATCAGAATGGCAATTATAAACAGTTATTAAAACTATTGTAGTCCCCTTCATAAACGTTTGTGGCAATTGAGATGAGTTACAAAGTACTTCATTTTTAACTACTCTACAGTTTTATTATTTGTGGCTCTTTTTTATTAAATCCAATAAGAATGTTAGCAATTTCAAAGATGAAAAGATGAGCAGAGTAAGAACTTACCTTGTTGAGCAGGAACTGTTCCTGGGCATCCACTGTGACTTAGAATCCACTGAAATCAGAACCCTCTATAATACCAGTCTTGCTCTCAAGATATGATGGGAGGATACCTGTTTCCTTTTTTGAAATACTTAAAATTTTATACTAACACTGAGGCATAATTCTGTGGTCACTGAGAACTGTTATAACATGGGTTATTATCTACAAACTGAAGTTGTGGTGGAGAAACCAAAGTCATTTCAAATAATGTCATTGCTAAGAGTCAAATGGCAGGAGGTGGACATGGCCCATGGTCTTTCCATGTGTCCAGTTCATGAGTTCCCAGGATAATGTCCTCGGTCACCTGGCCATCGCGTACAAGTCTTGTGATTGCCTCTGACGTGGCACATCCTGTGTTGAGGTTCAAAGAAGACAAGGTCTTGTCTATGAGACAATGCTGAGTTAAAGCCTGAGTTAAATAAGAGCTAGAAGAGGTCCTATTTCCAGCCAAATCGTGTCTGATAGAAAGTAAGTTCATGGGAAAGGTGAGTGAGCTTACATTAGAATTTCTCAAACACAGACCATGCACCATGCTCTTCAGAGTCAGCCAGCAAGCTTCATGAACTGCCAGCTTGTTACTGTTTTGGGGTTAAATCAGACTCTGGGCATCTTGAGCACCAGAGTTCATATTCTGCCTTTTAAACACACTCATACTTGAAGTACATTCTCACTGATGTTCAGGACTCAAGGGTCAAGGTGATGCACCCCTCCCTCTTTTTTTTTTTCTAAAGCAGTATAGACTGGGGTCATGGCAATGCTGACTTGTGAATCCTGATCATGTCATGATTCTCTCAACTCAGAGGGCCTTTTGCATTTATCAGCTGTAGCTGCATAAAGCAGAAAAAGAATTAATGGAAGGAACTGACAGTATAAGGAATATTTTAAGGATCAGGATTGAAGCTGAAAGAACCAGGTGTGTATGTAGCAGGCATTAACTGATGGTCAGCCATGGCTTGAGGCAGCTCCAAACTTGTCTTCCTATTCGGTGTCCATCCTTTTTCTAGAGGAAGAAAACCTTCTAGATGTAAGCAATGGAGAAAACAATTACAATAGGCTATAACCAAAAGGTAGGCAGAACAGATCTGTACTCTGAAGGATTCTGATGTTTTATCAAAGTTATACATACATGATAAAGAGCTATAAGTGTTTAAGAAGTATTTGTTTAACCATTTTCTAAGATGGATCTTGGGTAACAAAACAGCTTTCACATTTTCTTAATCCTCAGCCTGAATATGCCAATATTTGCTTTTGGTACATTCCACCAAGCCTCAGAGAGATGGAAGAAGGACCGGAGTTCTGGGAGAAACTTAGTCTGGTGAGTAATTCATGCATGGTATTTTCCTTTTTGATGAGATGGGCTCAGCATCCTGTGTCTGTTGATCCTGTGGGTGATTTTGTATTTGAGAGGATCTCCTGAAGATATAGAGAGATGTCTTCGACTAGATTACAGAATGACCACATGCCAACAGTTGTAAATAATCTAACAGATTAGCACACTTAATACACAGACTCAAAACAATTGTGCTATTTGCAGGATAATTATAGAATTTACTAGATGTGCTTCTCAATGTACTTTAGAAAATGAAATTGAGTAACAGGACATAAGGCTAAAAGCTGGGTGATGAATGGTTACTCATTTCAGTTCTGCTGGTGCAGCTCCATGAGTATTGTGTTACTTCACTTGTAAATAATGTGAAAAGTGTAAATCCGACACCTTTTTTCTGTGTGACATTTTGTCCTCTTCCCCAAAAAAGGCCTGTATCTTATACCCAAGGGTTTACAGGACAAAAAGGAAAGAGATACCAGGAATAGGTTTCACCTGATCCCTGAACAAATGTGCTTGAAGGTGTCATCACACACAGCCGTGGAGGGCTGACAGTCCAGAGTGAGGAGCATCCCCAGCTCTAGGGATGGCTGTGTTTCATCCCTACCTTGCCTAGCATGGCTCTGCCGGTTAAAATCCTGCCTCCAATCCAGGTTCCAAAAACTGTGAAATCTCACGAGACAACACTACTTGATCTCACTCCCCTGCTGTATGGACACGTGTATATTGAAAGTGAACTTGGGAGTTCCTATGGGGATTGTGTGGCACACATGCAGCATGAGAGTTTGTGATGGGTGTAATTAAAGTTCAGTAATTCCTCATCTGCTGCATTGTCTTTCCAATCCCCCGCCCCCATTAATAAAAGCTCTCACTTGCAATCTCCTCCCTCCCCTCAATGGAGAAAATGATCATTATTTTAATACATTTTATAGTTGATAGCCCTTCTACTTGCCCTTTGAAGAAAGGAAAGACTTAACAAGTCAGGCAAGCAGCAAACATTTCCTGAGTGCTCACTGCATTTTGCAACATCAAAACTTGGTTTCTGCTCTTGAGAAGTTCATGTTCATTGAGATGGTGAATCAAGTGATATCACAAGGTAACTAGTAAGTGGAGCTAAGCCCTGCTTGCAGTGAAAGTGTACAGAAAGAACATCTCCCTCAGTGTGCAATACTAGTGCAAAGTCATGAGGATGCCACTGAAGAGACAGTTTTAAAGAAGTAGATTCCAAGAAGTATCACAGCAAGAAGACCTAGAGGTTCTTCAAGAGGGGAAGGTGTAACTTGAAGACCACAGAATGCAAAGGAGCAGTGGCGAGAGGTGAGATGAGTGTAGTGGGCAGAGAGAAGGGCATAGGGCCATCTTACAAAGCAAAGAACTTGGAATGTTTGCCATAACTAATAAAGGAAGGCAGTACTGCATTACCTTTAAGTGCTGGCTACCTATAGCTTCACCTGGCCTCATGTCATTTTCTGTTTGTTCTAGACACATTAAGCCTCCTATACTGAAGCATACTAGATGACTAATATATAAATAAATATTTTACCTCTTGTTAAACCTGAGATCAGGTAGCAAAAATGGGGAGAGATGAGTGATGTTATCCACACCTTGTCTTAGACAAGCCTTCATTACCTATTTCAGGTGGTTAATATAATCCTTGGGATGTGTCTTGTATTTTTTGTCACACAATGCAAATAAGAGAGTGCTTAAGAATACATTTCAGATGGTAAGTAAACCCATAAAAAGACATAGGAATTGGACAATGTGAGAATTTAATGGTGAGATTTAGAGAGACATTTTTTACTTTGATGGAATGCAACTGATATTTTTTGGTGGGGTGGGGAGAGAAACTGCTTCAAAAAGATATGGTTTCCACTTTTCTCACTGAGCTAGAAATCATTTTTGATTGTTATGAAAAGCAACAAAAATATGATATTTGTGTTTTACTGACTCAGTACTGTAGCCCAGACAGGAATGAGGATAACTAGATAGTTTCATTATATTTAGGGATATTTTTGACTCATTCTTTCTTTACTTTGTATTCTCAGAAAATTTGATAACGAAGATGGATATATAAGTCAAAATCAGAGAATTCAAGTATTATATGCTTTTTCAACCTTAACTGGAAATCAAATATGAATTGAGATACTCTCTTTTATCCCAAAACCCTGTATTTTCTCTCTATGGTTAATATCCATGACTCCCCATCTTTTCATCTTCGAAATGCTTTTCTGCCAGTTAGAAATAAGTTCCCCTCACCTGGTCTAATATCATACAATTTTATTGTTATGTTGCTTCTAATTATAAAAAATGTGTTCTGCACACAAATTATTGTTGGGACTCAGATTCTCAGGTTCCCAGTGTTGTTCTCTTTTTCTCTGCATGGGTATGTGTGAATGAATTTGGCAAGGGGGGGACAATGCATATATATCTACTGTTGAGCTCTGTGGTTTTGTGCTTACTGTAGTGTAGGAATGCAAGTACATGATTTATAACACAGAGTGTACTTAAAACACACTTCAAATTTATTTCAGGATTTATCTTGGATGGAGAATCACAAACAAATAAATAAGCTGAATAAGGCTTTGCCCCTTCAATTGAGACCAGCATCAGGGTGAGCTGTCAGATTTCAGACTCAGTGGTGTGATAAGTCTTCCTTTGACAGCAAAAGGGGAGAGGGATTATTTGGTAATGAATCTGGAATATTCCAGATACCACACAAAATGTGTGTGTGTATGTGTGCTTGCAGGTGTGTGGACACGTGTGTGACTATTTCTGAGAACACAGTTGCTCTGCAGTCTGACAACCCTGTGACAACCACTCTGTGACACTGCCTTCAATTACTGAGTTCCAGTGACTTCTTTTTTAGAGGTCCTCTACACATGTGTTTCTTTCTGACAGAAAGACCTGGTATGCCAGGTCTTTGTTTCTTCCCCATTTCTTTTCTGGTCTCTTGGCCTCCTGACACTCCCTTCTCCTGTTGACTTTCTTTCCTCCCTGCAATTCCCACCTCCAGTGCTGCTTCTTCCTCACTCTCCTGCTGAAAGGCTCTGAATTGCTTCCCATTCTTTGCTGTGGCAGTTTTCAACTGTGAGACCCAGTGAGCACCATTTATGATACATAGTAATAATGTTCCTTTATCCTCCTACAATGAAACCAATAGAAAGTATGTCCTCCCTATACCATAGTTTTGTAAACCCTGTGAAAGACCTTATATGTCATATGAAATAGTTTATAATAAAATATGTTACCTGACCTCAATGCTTCCGCATGGTAATATTAGAAGACACATGGAGGCAATAAGATTCTTGGAAGCACACTGAATGTAAGCTGCATGCAAATGAAGACTTATGACTGGGTGGTGTCAGTGATGCAAATATCAAGAATGGCGTAGTACTAGTGATAACATTTTGGAAATGGTACAGCTCTTGATAAAGTTCTGAAGAAACCTTTTTCCCTTGCTTTACATGGTAGTAGAAGATATAAATAAATAAATAAATAAATAAATATATTCTTCTTTCTACAATACCTATACTAGTCATACTAGTTTCGAGTTCATAGGCAATGCTGTGATCAGTCTGAGAGAGATCTTCCTCTGGCTTCCTAGGGCCCCGAGGGCCCTAGTGCCCTTCCTGGGACACTGAGTGGGATTGTACTTGGCTCTCTAAACATACTACCTAACATGAGTTTATGTGTGCTTGCTCCTTTCATGCTGCTCCATAGTGATCAACCATGGAGGAGAAGGAAGTTGGGGGCATAATGGAAAGATAAACCGAAAGTAAGCCCCAGAGGATGTTACTGAAAGTTACATTAGCTTGTTTTGCCTCCTCATTACTGAATGTTCTGATGGAGATTTCCTCTTTTGTGTACATTTCATAAATCTACTTTAACCAACACTATTTGCATTCTTAAAAGCAATTAACCTGTCTTTGCTACTCATGCATGGTCATTTTAACTTGGCTTTATTTGCTGACCTGCAGATTTGCAACTAATGTTAAGTCATTCATAACAGGCTCTTTTCTCCTCAATAGCAGAGGAAGAATAAATCCTTCAGTGCCTATTTGATGAATTTGTTGTTTAATTGCTTATTTGGTGCTATAACTTGATATGATAGTCCACATATCTCTAGACAGAATTTAGTGTTGTCCTGACAGCTTTCTCATTAACAGCACCCGAAGAAGTGCTTGCTGATCTGAGAAGCCTCACAGATGTCCAAACAGGCCACTTCTTGGGACCTTAGGCAGGGCTTAATCGTCCCTTGTCACACACCACTCATCTCCTCATTTTTCTTTTTTACTTCAAATATCCTCTCTTTTGTGTATGCCTTCTGGTTTCTCTGAAGGGTGTGTGTGTATGTGTGTGTGTGTGTGTGCTTGCCTGTGCACATGTGCAGGTGTGTGTAAGGGTTCATAAAACCTTATGAGTTTCTGTTTTTGAGAATTCTGATTCTGACTTTCTTTCAATCATGATCTGTGATAATTTTTAAACTAATAACACACATTTTGCTAAAGTCATGGCAGTTTAAAGAATTCTAATGAGGTCCTTTTTAAAGTTTCATGGTATTCAATTTATCATATGTTCTTCAAAAAGTCCTGTTTTTGGTGGATGTCACTTATTTTCAAGATGCTCTTGCTTTACAATTTATATTTAAAGAGAGACTAATGTAGAAGTTCCTGCATCAAGTATTTCTGATTGTGACTAGAAAAGGCCCCTGTCCTTATCATGCTGGGTCGTGGACTTTCAGCAGGCTTAGGCAGTGAATTTCCTGGGCTTTGTAGGTATTTGATGTGCTTTCTCACATTATGAAGACTTGTTCATTTAAGTGTTGTCTCAGATTAGAGCTGCTCTTGTGTACAAGTTCCCAGATGTTCTAGTTGTAGTCACCCAGATTAAGGGTGGCCTTCTTCATGAATAAGCAGGAGAAGCTGGTGAGAGGGGAATCTCTTCCGCTGATGGGCAGGGGTACTCTGAATGGTTTCTAGCTTTTATGCTTA